AATCAATAAAAGATACAAAGTATGTTCTCATTGCATATATTAAATAGTGTAATACATGCATCACTAATTTTATGATGGGAAATTATATTACTACGTAAGATTTCATACGATCCTGTAACCTTACGTAGGATTTCACTGTAATGTTTCGTAAATCTTACGATACCATAACCCTACATAAGATTTCGACCATAATATTATGTAAAAAATACGACCTGTAACCTTACGTAGGATTTCACCATAATGTTTCATAAATCTTACGATACCATAAGATTTCGACCGTAATAATACGTAAAAAATACGACCCGTAACCCTACGTAAGATTTCACCGTAATATTTCATAAATCTTACAAACTCGTAAACTTACGCAGTTTTACAACGTAATACTCTGAAATATTACGAAAATCATAAATCTATGAAATATTACGCTGCATTTAAGTTCCAGATGAAGAAGAATAAAAGTTATGATTTTAAATTTTTAGTTGATTAAAAATTTTTTGAGTTTTAAATATTTAAAAATTGACAATTTCTTATAAATAAATATGCAGTTTATCAAATGATATTGGTTATGATAAGCAGATTTTTATTAAGTAATTGAAATCAAATGATATATATATTAAAGATAGGCATCATAATTAAAAAATAGCGTAATTGAGTTGCAACTTGTGACACAATTAAATTTTCTTATGATGTAATTAAGTTGCAACTTAATTGAAATTTAAAAATAATTATAGGAATCATTTTTAATTTTTTAATATATATAATATTTGATATTTTATATTACTGCTTATTTTTTAATAATAGTAAATTTTGATTACAATTTAATATATTTTAGTTTAATAAAGTCATTAAATAGTATTTAGTATTACTTAGTTTAATTTAAAGTATTATTTATTGTTAGTATTTTTTATCTAGTAATAGATTTCTTGTATATAAATATTTTATTTACTTGTTTTATTATAATAAATATTTAAGATGCTTATCACATTGAATATAAAAATGCAAAAAAAAACATCCTATTACTGTATGCAATGATAAATAGTGATTAAGGTTGCTAGACGAAATCAAGAGTTTAGACAGACATCTAAATGGTAAAAGTAAAACTTGGTTAAATTATAATAAAATCTTATTAAAAAATCTGCAAAATTTGGAAAAAGGTAAAACTATATCAAAGCTTATAAAAATGGCAAAACTATATCAAACACTTAGTAAAAATTTAGCGAAACTAAAGGTTTAACAGTTTTTCTAAATCCAAAATGAGTTTAGACAAGCAACCTTAATAGTGATATTGATTTAAATAATATTTTATTGTTATTTAATATTTATAAAATTACTTTATTTTATTGAATAAATTATATTTATTACTGATATTTGAATTGTATATTATTATATTAGGAAGTGATAAACTGTTATTAAATTCAAAGTTATAATCAAACTTATGTAATATAATAATAAATATTTAAATATAATATGATCAGATAGTATAAAAAGTAAAAAAGAAAAAGGTAAAGATAAAATATAAGGTAATGTAGATGGATAAAAAGAAGGAAAATATAGGGAATAACATAAAATTGTGTATGATTGTACAGTTAATTGTCTTTCACTTCACTTCAGATAATTAATTCTTAAATTAATAATTAATATTAATAATTTTATTATTAGTTTATTATTAATAATATTTATTTTTATCTTAAGAAAAATTCTTATTATATAAATCTAATAAAAAATTTAAAAATATCATTAGTTAAAGAAATTTGACAAATATTTATTATCATTTCAAATTTATTATATTAATAAGAATTAAAAATAAAATAAATAATTTTATAAAAAAAATAATATAAATATAAACTTTTTTTTGATTATTATAACTTATAAGTAGATATTAAAATTAGTATAAAAAATTTTAAAAAAAGAGTGAAATTTAGAGTATTAAATTAAAAAAAAAAATATTAAAAATAATAGACAAATTGCAAGAAATATATTTACATAATTAAAATATATAATAAGATGCAATGAATACCAAAATATGAAATTATAAAAAATTGATTATATTATATTACTGTAATACATACTGAGCAGAATAAAATAATTATATAAATAGTTTGTTTTATTAAATATAAAATATAAATAATAAATTTTTAATAGAACTTAACTAACTTATATATAATAAGTATTATTAATTTTTTTAAAGATTAATGCATTAATCTAAAATACTAATAGTTAGACGACGATGCGTCTAAATAATTTTGTTTTTTTCTCGACTTGAAGTTTTTATCATCATCTTTATTTTCTAAAACTTCTGTATCTGTAACAATAATACACTTGATGTGATTGGTTATTTTTTTTTTGGTAGATCCGGTCCGATCTATTAAAAACATAAAAAATCAATCATTATTATTTTTAAAAAGATTAACTGTTAAAATTAATTTAGCTATCAAAATTAACCAATAGAAGATCATAATTTCAATATTAATAAATTTTTATTATTTTAATTATATTTATATGTTTTCAACTTCCTTTCTAACTACATTTAATTGGTATTAAAGTTTTATTTTTGAGAATTGATCCAATCCTTTAAATTGTATTAAAAATTGGCTAAGTCAATGAATGTTTCACACCTTATTCTCCCTGTATATCACTTTGTTCTACCAATAAAATTCGATTATTAGAAATAAATTGCCTACTATAGAAACAATTAGTACTTAGCAGTTAACACAAGGAATTTGGAACGACAATCAGATATTCATGAATTGATTGATAATCAATGTTCCTAGCTTTTTTTCATAAATAAAATTTTATATAATAGTTAGACTAGATTCAAATTATTTTATTTTTAAATGCGCCATATTCAGTTATTCATTTTTATCTGTTTTTTGAATTGTGACATTTTCATCAAATTCCCTTAAACACAAAGAAACAATGATCAATTTAATATAAAAATGGAAGAAAAGTAAATTTTCAATTGGTCTAGATTTCCAGATTTAAGCAAACTAAACAAAAGTAGTGTAATTTGTCTCTTTGGATTGTCTGCATTGTGGCCATGTAATACCACCCTCTGGAAATAACTCCTGTGTGTTTGTGTAAGTTAATCATAAATTGCTTGCATATTTAGGTCATTAATTTCTATTTCTTTTCGCTCCCAAAAAAAAAATTAAATAAAAATAGAATATTTTGACCGAACCCTTTTAACAGTAACATATCCGTTGTACGGGTATTTTTGAGGGTTCTCTTTGCTTGTTTTTATAAACAATACATTCTTTTTCTCAATCTCACTTAACCTCGCCATAATAGAAAATTTGAACCATTTCATTAACTTCCGACTTTTCTTACTATTAATCTATTTCCAATCTTTAAAACGGAATACTTCTTTTCCGGATAAAAAGATATAGAACAATCAAAAATCCAACAAATTTTTATTAGCATATACCCTTTATATCAAATAACAAAAGTACGGTTTAGATCTATATTACACTTACAGATTTAGGCAACCATAGTTGCTATTGTGTTTGAATAGTTTGTTTTAAACGTGGAGGTCTCTTTAGGAGCTTTTCTTAGAAACGTTCGAAATAGCAAGATGGCAATACTCAAGTTGTCGTTCTTTTCCAAACAGCCAGAATCAAAACCTTGGAGGTGAGGATAACACCATTGACAATCCATCTCATGTATCGACAATGAATGAAGTTTAACTAAAAGTGTAATTTTATCAAATAGTTATCTCGAAGAACATAATGAAAACATATCCGAATATTTATACAAAAGAGAACTAGGAATTTCTAGATCAAGGTGGGATATCCCTATCATATTTAGATCAAAAGATTTGTGAAACATGAATTATTCTAATTAATTTAATATATATTTAGATATCCTATGAATTACTCCAGTTATAAATCCGATAAAATACCGCAGTTAATGAGAGAAAAAGAGATTAGTTTGGAAAATCATGATAAAATCTTTTCATCACACTGGATATCACATAATGAAGTTGTTGTAGGATCAAAATGTAATAAGGTATGAAATCGATGTTATCACACATATCAGAAATCAAATGAATCAAAAGTTAATATAATCCATTATATATATTATATATATATTTATTTAATAGTTGTTGATCCTTAATGTTCAAACAAACAAAAGGTTCGAAATTCCATTAGTTAACGAACAAAATAGGGAACCGCCACTAGAAATTCGAAACTGTTCGGGAATACGTAGTATCGCAGTGAATCCTTCAAGGACACTTTTAGCCGTAGGAGCAGGAAAGCCTGTCCAAGTAACAGTTTATGAGTTACCGTCATTTGAACCTGTTGCCGTATTTTCAGGTCACAGTGATCTTGTTTTTTCAGTCGCATGGCTTGACGATGATCATTTGGTTTCAGGTATACATCATTATAATCATGATTCAAATTATTGTAATGTAAAATTAATTTATTTCCTCTTCAGGATCACGTGACGGTACTATCCGGCTTTGGTCTATTGAATCGAAGATTATTTCTGAAATGCCTTTGTTACCAAATAAATATATTAATGTTCATCAACCTTTACTCACTCGATCGGAATTTAGCGGTAGGGTGCGGGATTTGCAATTCAATCCTAGAACTGAGGTATGTACATTCATTTTATTCCTTTTTAGAAGAATTTTAATATTTATTTATTTATTTATTTTTTAAAAAAAAATTAGCAAATCATGACTCTTTCAACTGAAGGATATGTGAGGTTATGGGATTCATCGTATCTCAATGAAGTAAATATATGAGAAATCATTGTAGTTCTATTTTTATTTTTTTTTTGTTTATAAAATGACGTCAACTTATTGTATTTTGTATTTTGTTATTATGATAGGTTACAAAAATTCAGTTGGCACATACCCATGAAAACGTTTGCCTAGCAATGAATTCTAAAGCGAATTTATTTGCTATAGGATCTCAAGCGCATATAACAATTGTTGACCCCCGGACATCATCAATAGCCCATGAGGTTGGTTCGGTTGATGAAGGATGTGGTAAATATTTTTAACAAAGAGAATAAATTTCTTTATCTTTATTATTATTAATCACAAGTCTATAATTTGAAGGTGTAAGATCATTATCTTTTAATGATCATATTATAACAACTGGTGGAGGCTATGGACGGTTATCCTTTTATGATTTGCGTGCGCAAGAATATTTGGATTTCCTTCCGCAATCTAACTCTAAAAAATCTTTAACACTTAATTATAAAGAAACCGGAAGCGGTTGGCTGGTATGTGTGATAAATAATAATTTCTTTTTTTAAAACAAAAACATTCAATAATTTTTTTTTTAATTTAATAGAATCGAGATGCAGTTTATATGAATCACTTTGCCGGTTATTCCATACAAAATGCAATTTACGCGCTTTCATATGATGAATCAGGCACTAAATTATTTACTGGAGGTGGTCCATTACAACTTGATTTAAAAGGGTCTTATGCAGCAATATGGTCATAACTTTAAAACTTTAAAATTGGGATTTTGGGAATATAGAGAGAAAAGAACATATATATATTAAAAGTTTTGGGAGAATTAAATTTATGAAAATACAATAGCCTTCATTCATATAGACTTGTCCTTTAAATAACTTTGTGACATGACTATTTTAATTTCACAAAACGAAACGTTTTATGCCTTTCCTCATTGTTTTGGGTTTATACAAAAGAGAACATTTATTTTATTTATTTATTAACAAATATAATTCGTTGTTTATTGTTTCGAAATTAATTAGATAGATACATAGATAGATAGATTGATTGATACTTTTTGGATCACCCAAAAATTTTTTGTAATATGAAATCATTTTTTTAAAAAGGTTGTTTTCTGTATAGTATAGTATCTTTCTATATCATTTGTGTTACACGTGTTTATTAGAATTCTTTTTCACATCACTACATATATGAATCATCAATCAAATCATACTTTTTTTTTCTTTTTGAAATAAATGAAATATTCTAAAAGATACATTTTGGTACCCTAAGCGGATTCCTGCAGTAAAAATATTAAACTATGACGATCTGCAAACCATGAATCTGTCCTTCATGTCCCTCATGCTGCGGATAGTTTAACGTGAATGTTACGGCGAATACGAAAAACCGCGCAGGTACGCCACGCCAATAAGACTCTTGCGAGGGTAATTGGTTCCAACAACAAAAAAAAAAAATTTACTTTTCTATCAAGGATCTTTCGACCCCTTGGCAATGGTCTCAAAGGTCATAAATATTTGTCTATCTTTCTTTGTAATGATATTTTCCAATAACTATCAAAATACTCGGGAAAATCCAAATTTTGATCCAAATTTATTTTATTGGACCACGTGCACAAAATTAGCTTCCATCCAAGTGAAGATACAATGCACTGAAGTAAGAAATGGATTCTGTTCTTGAAATTTGTCGCTACACCATTTTTACGTTCTATTAATGACTTTAAATTATAAATATTAAAATTTTTTAAAGTACTTGGAATAAATTTATTTGTGTCACAATATTATTTGCGGTACCAATCATAAATCGTAATATATGAATATCCTGCCAAATGTTTCACCTCAGGGTTTCATACTCCAAAACGGAAAGTTGTTAATTTCATGCATAATTACATTAATCAAGTTACTATTTGATTGATGGATTTTGCCACTTCGTGGCTTACCGTGAATCGATCATCAACAGTTGTTGATTTTGTGGACTTTCACATCAAGTACCTCCAATCATATCATCCTTGGCAAAACCCTGAGGTTTCGACAGGTAGCAAAATCGAAATTAGTTTTGACGTTTTACTAAAAAAATTTTTAAAGGCAAAACCGGCGTAAGACGGGGTTGCAAAAGTTTCGACTAGTAAAGTTTCAACGGCAAATATTTCGACGGGTGATAACATTTAATACTCAATTACTCTCAAAATAGAATTCACTGTGGGTACATTTATTTTAATACGACCTTTGGAAATCTGAAATTTTTCTTTCCGAATCTTTTTCTAGGTTCAAAAAAAACCCCCCCCCCCCCGTAAAACCCGTTGAATTTGACAAATTTAATTTAAATCACAAATGTAAAAAAATTTTTGAACCCATCGAAATTGTCGAAAGTCGAAACTGTCAAAATTATTTTCGAAAAGATTGCGACATTTTTCCAAAAATGAGATTAGGATTTGCCCCGCAACCTTTGAGTGGTGGCAGCAGTTTTAAGCTTTTTTTTCTGACAAATTATCATCTTGATCTATTTTTTTTTTTTTCTTTTATTGCATAATGAACATTTTCATTAGTAAATAGTGAAATAGGGAGAAAAGTTAATAAGTTTGTGTATAACAAAAAATAATAAAGACTATAGAAGAGCAAGTATTATTACTCAAATGTCGACAAATATCATTAGGAAAAACAAATCCCTGACGAATTAATTTATATCGTACTGTTGCCGCGAAAAATTGAAATTTTATTAAATAAACCTACCTAATCGAAACCCTTCTGGTTATAACAATAAGATTTCCCTCAAGAAAAAATTATTTAAAGTTTTTCATTTTGCGGTTGATCCTAATTATGTACTGAAATAGAGTTTGGAACCGGTTTTATTTTAACAAACCGGTTTTAAACGCTTTTTAATTTGAGACCCGAATTTAAACCGAATTTATATAAAACCGGTTCAACCGGGCATTCGGTTGTAATAAAACC